CGAATGAGAAAGTTTTTACATAAGACTTTGATTACTTTACTTCTAAAATTTTTCACTTAGTCAGAAAGAATAGTTTTAGAGGTTCTATGTCTACACACTATCTTTTCAAAAATAAATTTTGCAAGAGTTAGGGCTTCTGCATCTGGTATAGCTCGGGCTTCTGGCCAATGTATCAAGTAATCTGTTACAACAATAATATATCAATTGTTGCGAGTGGTTATGAGTAGGGGTCCTACTAGATCAATTCCAATTCTCTCAAAGGCTTGTCCTATTTTGATAGAATGTAGTGGTTCTTTTCTCTTAGACTTGCTTTTTCTTTGGCATGTTTCACAAATCTTCATATATTCTTTAATATTTTGATACATCTGGTCCCAATAATATCGTTCTGCAATTTTATGGTATATAGCATCTATTCTCAAATGTTCAGCAGTAGGATAACTATATATCATATATAGAATAGGGTCTACTTCAGTCCATTTAACAACTCTATATGGTTTGTCTGAGTTTCGTTTGTTTTTCTTGTATAAATATCCATTTTTAATTGTGAAATATTTAGCTTGATTTTGAAGTTGTTTCTGTTGATAAGTAGTAAAGTCAGAAGGTAAGGTATCAGAATTTAAATAATTAAATAGATTTTGATATTGATCTAAATTCATTATTAAAATTCTAGTTGATCAGAGTCTTAAGAGGGTATCTACATTAGAGTGAATTCTACCTGGTTTATGTATAATAGTGAAGTTGTAGGGTTGTAATTTCAAAATTCATCGTCCAATTCGTCCTTTAGGTTCTACAGTTTTAAGCCATTTTAGTGCAAGGTGGTTCATTACAAGAGTAAATTCAGTAGCTTCTAGATAGCTATGAAAATATTCAATAGCCCATACAATAGCAGCACATTCCAGTTTCATTGCAAAGTAATTTTGTTCTGTAGCTATTAAACTCTTGCTAGTATAAGCAATAGGATATTCCTTTCCATCTCTATCTTTTTGGCTCAGAGTGGCTCCAAAGCCATGATAAGAGATATCAGTGGCAAGAATAAATCTTTTTCTAAAATTAGGGTAGGCTAGAATAGGTGCAGTAGTTAACTTTTCTTTAAGAATATCAAATACTTCTTGCTATTTGTTTTCCCGATGATAGGGTTCATCTTTATGGAGAAGTTGGTTCAAGGATTAGGCTATAGCAGAGAAGTTGCAGATAAATTGTCGATAATATCCAACTAAGCCAAGAAAAGATCATAATTTGGTAGTATTCTTTGGGGGTTGAATCTTCTGAACAGTTTCAATTTTTGAAGAGTCAGAGGCTATTTCTTTAAAACTAATAATATGTCTAAGAAAAAACAAAAACTTCATTCAGAAGTTGCATTTTTCAAGGTTAAGTTTTAATCCTGCATCTCTTATTCGTTGAAACACAACCTTTAGGTATTTCAAATAGTTTTCGAATGTTTGAGAGTATATATTAGTATTATCAAGATACACAACTACAAACTTCCAAGCAATTTCTTTATAAACTTGATCCATAAGTCGTTAAAAAGTGGCAAGGGCATTATACAATTCAAATGGCATTACATTAAACTCATAAATGCCATACTTTGTGATAAAAGCAGTCATCTCTTTATCTTTAGAGTCTATTATAACTTGCCAGTATCCACTAGCTAAGTCTAAGGTTGAAAACTACTGTGATCTTGAGAGAGTGTTTAGTATTTCTTGGATTCGAGGTAGTGGGTAGGCAACTTTCTTAGTGATACTGTTAAGTTTTCTGTAGTCAACACAGAATCTTAACTTTCTATTTTTTTTCTGTACTAGAACAACAAGTGATGCCCAAGGGCTTTCTGAGGGCCAAATAATGTTACTGTCTAACATTCGTTCAATTTCTTGTTTAATAAATTCTTGTTTATCTGGGGACATTGTAAGATCACAATTTGATAGGTAGTATATCTTCTGTATAGATTTTATATTTAACTTTATCTGTTTTGCCAAGTTCTGTAATATCTTTAGCAAACAGATTAGCAAATTCTTCTAGCAAGGTTTTAAATACTTGTCTTTGTTCTTTCGTGAGTGGTTCTACATTTACAGTGTCTGTCTTTTTTAAAATATATTCTTCATAAGAAATTAAAGTATCTATAGTATATACAAAATTATATTTAAGAGCATTAGCTTGCAAGGCCTGTTGCAGAGCTTCTTCTTCTGTTGGTAATTCTTCTAAATCTTCAGGTAGTTTTTCATCTTGCCTAGAATAACTCAAAAATTTTGCTATGTAAAGGCTATACAGGCATAGTAATTGGCTTATTCCTGGTGATGTTAGATTTGTTGTTAGAAAAATTTCATTATCTTCTCAAAATTTTCTTCCAAATATTGAAATCTGGTTTCTAAACGAGCAATAACTTGGTCTTTTTCTTTATCCTTCCTCTTCTCAAAAATAGTATTCTTACTTATTTCAGGTTTTTTTACTATAATAGTATCATCATAGTATATTTCTTCTGCAAGCTGTTCTGTAATAATAATATCACCTTGGTGCATTCCTTCTATAATTGTTTCTTCGACAGAAGAGGGTTTGTTTTTCTCTTAATAACATTCATCACAAAGACCTTGGTTAGCTTCTAATTTAGTACTTTGTTTAGCAAAGAGGTACTCTTGGCAAAGAGCTACTTTTTCTTCAAAATTCTTCTTTAGATTCTAAATAGCTTTGCAGATATCAAAGTCAAGTTGAGAAGTATTAAATGATTTATTTAAGACCTGTTGTAAGATAGCCTCTTTATCTTTTGTAAGCAATACTTGCTCTGCTCGAAATAGAATAGTAATCTCTTCAGGGGTCTATTCTTGATTATATCTATCATCTTCTTGCTCTTCCATAGCTTCTTCTATACTTCTATATTCTTCGTCAAATAAAACTTTAACTAGACGATAGATTCGGTCTTGGTTTAAGTCATACTGATATCTAGCATTTCTGGTAGACTTAGTATAATGTTTAATTCTGTTCCAAATCTCATAGTTTGGATTATATTGGAGGTCTGTGAAGATTTTATAAGCATACATATGTTCTAATTCACAGAATCACAATTTTTCTTGTATACTTTCTATATTATGCATTCTTGATCTAGGTTTCTAAATATTACAAAGTTTGCATCAAACAAGGGTTCTTCTACCAAGTCCTGTATTGTAATATTCCTGGCTTCTGGGGTCTTTTGAGTCAAGAGTTTCATAATATGTTTTGTAACAAGCAGTACAAGCAAGTTTTTCTTCTAATTTGTATAGTTTATCAGGTTGCTGAGGGGTGCAACAATTACAACAATGATGAGTTCTCCTTCTACTATAGTAGATCATTCTTCTTTCTTCTATTTAGTCTTTGTCATAACCACATTTGTAAGTTAAATTGTCAAGTTTGAGTTGGGCAAAAGGGCAATTAATTTCGATATAACCAAATTCATTATAGCTATAGTATTGGTTATTTGAACAATCTTTGAACAAGTGAGCAGTTTGTCCACAAGTTCTACAGTTATTTGACCTTTTACATTTGTTGAGGCAGTTAATAAGTATATGTCCAAATTTGTTGCAATAATAATATTGATTTCTGGAGCAATCCTTGTATTGATAGTTAGCTTGACCACAGGTTTTGCAAGGTGGTTTTCTTTATCAAGATTGATAGGTAGTCCATTCTTGGTCTTCATCTTCTGAAGATGCAGAAAATGCATAAGCTTCATGGGGTGTTAGATATTTCTGCTCATATAATTCAAAGTTTTCAGCAGTAGTACAGGTTAATTTCTTTTTTTTAAGCTTTTCTTGCTTATATGAAGTATCAAGAACAATCTTCTTTCCTTTTCAATAGAGAGTATATTGACATGTTTTCCAATTATAATTGGCTTCTACTTTCTTTGTCCAATTATTTTCAAGTAGAATAGAATAAAAGGTGGCAGGTACAACTTCTATATCCAAGGGGATAAGTCGATCTTGGATCCTAATAAACAAATTTCTAATGATTCCAAGAGGTCTAGAGGTGGTGCCAGTAGCAGCAACAATAAGGCTTTTTAATGGCTCTTCAATCTTGAGATCTAGTTTCTTTACGGTTTGGTGTAAGATCATACTGACAGAGGCTCCACTGTCATTAATGGCAGGGTAAGTACGATTTTAAATATCAATATAACATTTAACAGGGGTAATTGTACTAATAGGTTGAGGTTTAGTATTTTCTCTATTGGCTTTAGTAATATAGGTGGTTAGAGCAGTTCTGATAGAGTAGTTGTCTAACAATCTTTCCCAATTGTTAGAGTTAGAAGCAGGTTGCTTTTTAGCTATATTAACATTTTGGTAGTAGGGTGATGGTGAGCAATTAGATTTGGGTTCCTATCTATCTTGACTTCGGTCTCTAGATCTGCTTCTGTAATTTCTGTCTCTTGATTGGCTTCTATCCCTATAATTTCTATCATGAGATTGACTCCTATCTCTGTTTCTTCTATTATTGTTATTATTGTAACGGTTATTATTATTTTTCCTATTATTATTATTGTTAGTTCTTCTTTCATTGCTTCTGTTCCTTTGGTTATCATTACGTCTTTTTCTATAGTCAGCAATAAAATGTTCTAGATTTCCACAATAATAACAAAGAGCTCTATTTTGGTTAAAGTTATTTGGACGAGAGAAACCAGATTCTCTTTCAGCTATATAAGCAGGTTTCAGTTGGAGTTCTGGTTGCTGTTGAACCATATTAATAGCTAATTTGTCAAAGTGGCTAGTAAGGTTACTAATGGTATTCATTACTGAGTCTTCTGTTGAGGCTATTAATCTTCTAGCTTCCTATTGTTTGGTAGTAGCAATAGCTTCATTTAAGTTTCCTGGAGTCGATGCTTGTACAGGAATTGCATATCAGATCGTAATCTTTTAATAAAAAGTTGAACAACAAAAGGATCAGGAAATTGATATGCTGGATCTGGGTTCACTTTCTTTTGCAATTTCTTAAACTGGGCAGCATAGATGTCTACAGTGTTTGCTTCTTGTTTTAGATCAAAAAATTCCTGTTGCCACATAGCTCACTTCTTGGTAGTCATGAATTGTTCTAAGAATTTTACTTTGAATCAATTATCATTATCACTGGTATCATATTGTTAGATTTCTTCTCCTATTCCTTTTAACTAATCTTCTGCATTGTCATGCATGTAGACTTTAGTGATGGCAAGTTTTCTGTCTTCATTCTAGTTATTAGCAGTAGCAGCTTATTTAAATTTATTGATCCAATCAATAGGATCCTCAGTACCATCTCCTCTAAATGGTTTAATTTTGATGAGAGATTTTTTTGCTTCTTCTCCTCTTCCAATAGCTTCAGCTAATTGGGTCATTGCTTAAGCAGCTTGTTCTAAGTCACCCATATTTTTTTCTTCGTCTAAACTATCTGAATTTATTATTTGCTTGGGGTTTGTTTGTTTGGGTAAGGATAAAGGACTTTGTTCGAATAAATTTTCTGTTTTTGGCTGTTCAAAATAGTCTAAATCCTCTTAAGAAAGATAATTATATGTAGTAGTTGTTTTAGGGAGTTAAGGATAAAGTAAAGAATAAGTAGAAGTTGAACTAAAAATATCTGAGAGGTCTGGGTAAAGGCATTCTGGTAGTGGACTAAGAGTTTTAATCTGAGGGTAAAAAGATTGGTAGTCTTGCTCAAATGAATAGGTAGTTATAGTAATTTCTTCATCTATAGTATATACTGGTGATAGAGTAGTTTCTTTTATATGTGAGGCTTCAGTATTAACAGATTGAGTATCTTCTTGTTAAGTTCTAGAAGTAGAAAAAGATCTGGTTTGACGAGGGCTAATAGACATTAAAGTTTTAAAAATCCTATTAATAAATCGAGGTGGTGGAGTAGGTAATAAAGTTGCTTCTTCTAGGATATTTTCTGAATTATCAGATGAGATAAAAGATTTTTCTTGTCTTTCTGGCTGAGTAATAGGAGTAAAAGTTGAAGTAGAGGCAACAACAGGCTTTTCTATATTAATAATGGTATTAGGAGAAGATAAAGGTAAAACAGAAGTAGTAATCTCTTCTAGAGTTTGTTGTTCTTCATCTGGGTATAATGTTTGAATATAG